GATGCCCCCCCCCCCCCCTAGGTTTGGATTTCCAACTAGCTTTTTCAACTCGGTCGCGACTTGAAAATTTCTGAAATTTTCAACAGAGCGTTTCCATTTTTCTTTGGCCCGAGTTGAAAATTTATTTCTCATAAAATCGATTTTCCAAACCGTAAGAAGCTCTGTTCGGCTGGGAATTGAAAATTTCAATTTTTCAACTGGAATTTTTCAAACCGTAAGAAACGGCCTAAGTGCAGTTGTTTGTTGTTCGTTTTAATTTTCGGCATTATTTTTCGTCGCTGCGTTGTCAGGAATCAGCTGTCGCTCTTGATATGCTCGCGTGCACGAAGCACACAAGCGTGATATCTTAGCTTGCTGCCGTCCTCTTGTTGGACTACACACACCCCCGATTTGTACAGGACGCCAAGTCGGCCTCGACCCCTCCTCCCAGTTCAGTCCTCGTCAAGCCCCTTGATAACCTCATTACATTACATACGTTGTCACTCCTGCTCAGACTGCTTTTGCTATCGTACGCACGACTCACACACACAGGAGAGCATGTCATGAAGGAGGACCTTGCAAAGGAGACAGGTACCACCGCCGTCCTTGCGGCAGTGGCTACTCGAAGAAAGAGGGCGCCCTGCCCAAGAGTGTCAAGTCGACATTTTGATACTGAAAGCAAGGCTGCCTCTAAAGCAAGTGCTGACCAGCTCCCGAAAGCGTTCAAGGGCTTGAAGGGAGAGCGAAGAAGCGAGTACTTCACGTCAACCCCGGATTCTTGTGCGGGCAGCGCCAGCAGCTTCGATTGGGGATCGGCATTCACGGAGAAAGCCTTTTTCGCTCTGAAAAGTTGCGAACACTTTGAACACACAGGCGTGCGCCACATGTGCAAAAATCGGTGTTACTTCCGAGCTTACGAGCCCGTAAGAAAGTGGCACGCTCTTCGGTTGGCCGTGGCAAGAGTGGGGGCATCGACAGGGGTGCTGACTGGATGGTGTGTCCAAATGGACAGAGGTCAGACTGCAGAAGACTCGTGGCGTATCAGATACGTTGCTCCAGATGTGGGTATCTCTACAAATCCTAATCCTTTGTAAGGCGTGGAATGTTCTCTCAAACGTTATATGCGCCTTTGCTACATGACCCTGGATCGCGTGCACGTGTTCCGCGATGCAGCCAACTTCGTGTCGAGTCCAGTGATGTATGATCTTAGATTCGATACGGGAGGCTCGACTAACTCTTAGATCCTTTGCTCTACGCGTGGGTGGCTCAACGCTTCAATCTTCTTCTCTCTTCTCACCACCTGCCGCTGATTCATATGCTGAACTCGACGTCTTCTCGGCACCACAGGGGAGCGTGTTTCCTTGCGTCAAGCCGGTGCTGAAAGCCTTGGGCCTGGGACATGGCGTCAGTGGCTACCCAACGTCGCCTCCCTCGCTACGGCGAAAAAGTCGAACGCCAACAACTTCACCCCAGCCACTACCTGCGGCCTGTGCAACAATCAGGCACCACCCGAACGGGTCCGCTTATTTGCTGAAGAACCCACGGGCTGGAACGTTTCCTCCATCCCCGTTCGGTTTGATCGAAGAACTCCTGACCGATGACCCCTGGAAACTGTTGATTGGATGCATCATGCTGAACCAGACCACCAGGTCGCAGGTACGATGTTAGACGACATCACTGACTGCTCTGCTGCGGGATTGGGATTGGTCAATGTGGCTATCGTTTCGCGCTGCGTGAGTAAAAATTCTGAATTTAGTTGGGACATATGGTTTTGCACCGCAAAATCAAGTCGGTTCAGGTTCGATAGGATGTCGGCATGCACGCATGTTTGTAGGTGGAATCTCAACGTGTTTTGTGGAACTGACTCCTCTTCCTGCCCTCCGGCTCCGTCGACTCTGTGCAAGATGGACCCGGTGCTGGTGCGATTTCTGGAAAAGTTTCCAACCGCCGACGTAGCTGCGGCAGCTAGCGTGGACGAGATGACTCGAGTGGTGGCCCCTCTTGGGCTCCAGGAAAGAAGACCCATTGCTATCATCCGCTTTTCACGTGAGGCTTAGCTTTTTGCTTCACAGGGCTTAAACCTGGTGTCCGTCCCGCCATGTGCTTTCTGGGATATTTTGCGTTATGTGTGTCGTTCCTTCGTTGTGCGAGCCCTCACACATTCCCGCCGATTGACCATTACAACAAGCAAATCATTTTTGAAGGGGTGGACGCCTTTCTCGCGGTAAATGTCCTTGGACTGGTTCCACGAAGCCCGTCTTCTGGGTCAATGTCCCCCTCTCAAACACAACCAATAGCTGCAGAATAACATCCTAATATGCGTTGAATCGTCGCCCTGCCGAACATCACGTGGTTACCCCCGGGAACCTCTTGACGATAGTAGCTCCTCCAATGTACCCCAATCTGCTGTCTAACACACATGCTGCTCACCTTGTGGGGCGTCGTCACGAAGGCCAAAGGTTGCTTGGCTGCCAAGGTGTTGAAGTGTTCCCCACCTAGCTGCCCGAGAGATCACCGGGGAAACGCTTACCTCGGCAACCCAGCGACCTTGCGCCTTCGTGCGGCGTTGTGCGGCATCGACGCGAAGGTCAAAGGTCGCTTGGTGGCCGAGTTGTTGAAGCGTTCCCCCAGCTAGCTGCCTCAGGAATCTAATCCCTTGGGCAGCTGGGCGAACATTTCAACACCCCCGCAGCCAGCGGCCTTTGTCCTTCTTGTCCGCCCCAAACACACAAGTCGCGGGTGTTCCATAGCGTGATGGTAAGCAGTTAACCGTGAGTGGCAGAGAAATGGCAGCCTGTGGCGTGCGATGGTTGCGTACTGTTACTGAGCTGATTGGCACAATGCGGGAAAAAGATGCTGAAAAACAATTCTTCCCAAGGGACGCTTCGTAACATGATTTTTTCGGTGAACGCCGACATCGTTTTCCAAGTCGGTTGATTCCTTGGAGGCGACGTACTCGACATCAAAACATGTAGGGACAATGGCATTACAGTACGGGGAGGTACGCGGGTCATCGCCTCGGGGCGCATCTTCGAGTTTGGACAACCACGGTACCCCGGCGAGTGTTTGTTCGACCAAAGCGGCTCCGCAGTCGCGCCCACAATGACGTGCGCGCTGGTATCGATAGAGATACGTCTTGCGATCTCCGTCCGTGACGTCTACAGAGGACTCATGGAGCGAGACTGCATTTTTTATCTCCTCGTGAGCGATCCGCCTCCGACAATTTGCTGGTGTTGTGTGCATGCCCCACAGAGGAGTACCTCTCCAAGGCGTGGACAAACGTCAAGGAACTGTACTGGGTCGGGAAGTACGCTGCAGACGCCCACAAGATATTCATCGAACGAAAGTGGCGCGAAGTACAACCCGACGACCACGCGCTGAACTGGTGGGTGGAGTGGATGCGCGGCGCGCAGCAAGCGGAGGAACCGCTCTCAGCGGCCGAGCGCTCTGTCCCTGCCCTTGAGGTGGTTGGGCGTGACGGAAGTGCTAATACCTCCAGTGGAAAGCAGCTCGAGTTCTGAGCGGCGAAATCATGTATGCTCTAGTGGAAGTGCGTGTGTAAATATAACCTTGAATATCTTGTTCCGAAGCTACCTGAGACACAGACCGTATTTTCATTGGCGGCGGAATGAGCTGTTGGTGGTTGTTGGGGTTGCAAAGGAACTAATAATGTACCTTGAGGTGGGACCAATAGAGAACGCAATTTTTGTGGAATGTTGATGCCTTGGCTTTTTACATGGCAAAATATCGGTTGCCCTTCTCAATTCACTTTAACTGCGTTGTGGAACTTCTGTTTTGCTATCCAATCGGCGCTCATTAGCCAGAGTTCACCTTGCTCGTAAAAGCGGAACCACGCCGAGGAACCTGCGGTGCCCATGATATCTTACACCGATACTCAGGAGAATGTTTTTAACTGAGGCACGGCTCGTTGCGGGTTGTTGCACTTTGCTAGCCGATGTTTTGAAAGGGACACGTAGGTTTTACATTAAACACGTACGCCAGGTCATCAGCTACTACTACTCTAATATACTCATAATTTCGTTTCAACCGGTTGAAACCGCCACACATCACGCACGTGCCCCCCGCCAACCCGCACCACACAAGGAACCGCCATGGCAGCTCCCGCACCCAGGAAGGGTACTGTCGTAGGGAGCAGTTGGTACTTCCACGGGAAACATGTAGTGCAGGCCACACAGTCAGGATATGCAGCAACACGCACAACCCCCGTCCCTGCTCCCCTCCTCTCGCGGACCTGCGATATTTTGATGGTATGTGTGGAAAGGAAACGATGAAAGCATGGTGTCGGAGGAAGACTGAGGTGTGAACTAGAGACTTCGCAAAAGATCGACAAACGAACCAGCTCCAGCCCATGAGCTTGCTACCTTGTACGTGTAGTACCATCAAGAGAGTGATACAGTTGGCGCGAATATGTCATGGGAGTTTATACATTTCCTCCTCTTGACTCAGTCCTGCATGCCTATGCCAACTTTGCGTCCCCGTACAAACGCGGGCTGCAACTTGTAGCTGCCCGATTACGGGCCTTACCTGTCTTGGCTCGCTCTGCTAGTCGCACGGCCTCCTCTCTTTGTTTGGCGACTGCGATCTCCTGCTGTCGGCTGTTGCGCATCGCTATAATCTTATCACGAGTTTCCAAGGGCACCTGCAATCACCACAGGCGGGCGCATGAGCATTAATGCTAACCGCTTACCGGTTGTTTTCACAAATTGATGCGCGATGAACCGACGCCATGAACTGAAGTCGCGCTTGCTGCCTCCCACACAGCTATCATAGGCGTTCGAGTATTCGGCACCCGTTTCATCAACCACTATGTCGACGAGCATTCGCAGCCACGCCTGCGTGGGACTCTGGTACTTTGGTTGAGAGAAGCGACCCAAAACGTCGTGAGTCCGGTGCATGGTTTTTGTGCCTTGCCCTTAGCTAGAGGTCAAAAATATAAGTCAGCAAAACGTACCTGAAGGCGGTGTCTTGTCAAGTAAAAACTCAACAAGCTTGGAGCGCACCGGAAAGCGATTGCTTGCCTTTTTGTTGAAGACATCACCGGCAATTTTGTTTTCAACGTCACGAATGTCGAGCTCGGCGCCTGCCGCTAGGAGGGCCTCGACAACATCGACCATCCCTGCCCTTGCCGCCTTGCTCAAAGGTGCATCACCGTTGAAATCGACTGCGTTGATATTGGCCTTGAAGTCCAGCAGCACCTGTTGTTGGTCGTTAGGCCAAGAATGGCTGTCAGGAAGGCTGCCTGTAGTACGGGTGTGCCCCACCATCGGGATTCGAACTGGTGCATCCTTTTAGGCGTGTTGCTAGCAGCTGTCTATTGCTGCTGTATTGGCATCGCAGCTGGCCTCGGGGAACCGTGCTGGTCCTCCAGGAGATCCTCGATATTTTTGTGAAGGTGGTGTAGCGAGCACAAAAGACGACATGAAGGTTCGCCCACAACCAATCAAATACCTGTGTGGAACAAATTAGGCACCGATCAAGCTGAAACTTGTTGAAGGCGCCTACAGTAGTGCAGGACGGCCGATGGTCTGATTCCTCGTGCGTCGGGCGTTCGGGTTAAAAAAGGGCATGGTTCGGAGCTTCGGAGTGAACGGCATCAGACAGACGACAGACACTATGTTTATCGTTCTATGAAGGCTCGTAAGACCGTAACGGTCTCATAGAGGAACGAGGAACGACAGGTGAAGTTTACAAAGAGGGTGATAGTCTGCTGTAGCAGCGCAGTGGGAACTCGAAGCCGCCGACCTTCGGTACAGTCGCGCGCATGTGCTCACTTTTCAACCGGTTTTTGAAGAGGGTCCATCGTGGGTCAGAACCGCAACTCCAGCAGGTAAGACACAAGTAAATGAAAACGCACGGCCAGACAGGGAGGCTTCTCTTTATCTCGTACCTTCACTACAGCCAGGTGACCAGTTTCACTGCACAAATGTAGGGGTGTCCTCTGTTGCTTGTCTAGTGAGTCCACCTCCGCGTGAGCGCCCAGTAGAAGACTCGCAACCTGGCGTCAACGCAAGTTAATACAGTAGTAAAGTAGTAACACACACATTCAAATCGAACGTCGACAAGATATTGTTCGAATGCGAGCGAACTCGAGCAACTCGACCTATACTGACTATAATAGCTGCGTTCGTCGATGGCGCAACCATTCAAAACGGTCAGGCGCCCTGCCTGATCAGAGGACGTAATGGGCGCATCGACATCAGTCGGGTGATGAAACAAATAGTGTGTGGTGGCGTTGAATTTACATATCTAAAATAAGCCATCGATTGATTGTGCTCTGCTGTACTGTGAACAACTCCGCTGGGTTCCCGGGCGTGTTACTGATAATACTAGACACTTCAGAGGTAAGCAGCAGTTCTACCCGTCCATGACAACCACCAGAGTCAACTTTTCCCCTTAGTCTAGTCTTCACGTTCAGTGGTGGTGTGGTACCTCGCTCTGTCCGCATTTGGCTGCTTGATGGAGGCCGGTCCGTCCGGAGCTGTCTCGTTTATCAACGAAATTGCCGGCATCCAGCCATCGCTGGAAGGCAGGAATTTTTCACAGGCGGTGGTCGCGAGCAAAATCGTCAGCTCAGGTCAACTGAGGAAATTTTCGAAACAGTCGCTACCGCAGTCTAGTCTACAGCAGCAGCAGTCTGCTCTCTGTAGATCCGTTGGGTGATGGTGTGTGGTCGGATATTATTTTCGATCCAAATATGATACTCTATAACATGTACATGAGGCTCTAACATAGTCTATGGTGCTGTGTGTAGGACACCTTTAGGATACCTCTGTTCTACAAGTCGGCGCAAGAGGTAAAGCTTGTGCTGCTATCACATGATACACGAAGTTCCAAAACGCCGGTGTGTGGTTGTTGGCCGTTGCCATTTTCTCGCCTACCCGCATGCGCAAATAAATACATCCTATGCAAACAAATAATGTAGGGCGTGGTGATCAACTGCGAACCTCTCTAGCTGACCTTGCGGCAGCTACATAATTGCGTTTATTTCTACCGTCAACGGCGTAGTGCTGTAGTATCCGCGTGCTTACCGCGTCTAGTCTAGTCTAATCTACACTGCAGACGCGTAGAATCGTGGCCGTGGTCTACACGGTACTAGTCTACATGCGTGTTCATGTCATATGTGAAGTCGGAAATCGGAGATCACAGCAGCAGCATATCGACCTCTCAGCAGCAGCGTTACCATTTCGATTCGCACGTTACCTGCACTGCCGTAGCGTCTCCGTCCATGCAAGCGAGGTGCAGGCTTTTACCCTGAGTGCTTGGGAAAGCCATAATTCGGATGTGGTATCTCTCGTGTTGTTGTCCCACGCTCCAGAAATTTTGCGTGCATGTCATGTGGAACAATGTGGTTCGGCTGCCGTTTCACTGCATAGATAGTCGGTTGCCCCGGTGGTCTAGTTGGTATCCTCGAAACCTTCTATTATTAGAGAGAGGTCAGGTAAGGGGTTCGAATCCCGTCATAAGCGAGCTTTTCTTGCAAAGTGGGTATTTATCTCGCTTCCGCTCCTGGCGTAGTGGATAGCGCTAGTTCGTGTGTACACAGAGGGGAGAGAGTGTTGAACTCTTCTCGCATTAAAAATCGAAGGCAAAGTACCGCAGGAGGGGAGGGTAGAGGGGGGCTCTTCTGTGTGACCACGGGTTGGAGTAAACGGTACTACTGCTGTATTATAGTTTTAGCGCGGTACTAGCGCTGATTTGAAGTAAATGACAAAAAAAAAAAAAGGGTACATACCCTGGTCACGCCTCACGCCCCTGCGGAGTTTTCTCTTCTTCATCACCACAGTTTCCTCGTCCTGGAAGCGCCACAAAAGAAGAAGCCGGCCACACCGCCTTTATTTTCCAGTTTTCCAGTGAACGGTCCTACTGGCGGCTGACTCTTTCCCTTGCCGACCCATCCCCTACGGCACGCCGCAACTCTGCCTCAGTTATCATCGAGCGTGCGACGAAGAGACTAGTCCGCTCGTAATAGAGGTTGGTGTGGTGTTGGAATCGAAACCAGGGCGCACAGAACTAAGGGACAGGATCAACGCTCGGGTCGTTGCACAACAGCAGCTGCACGGTGGAACAAAAGAGAATTTTTCAGCAGACAAGGGGGTCGTGTATCGTCCCGGGTGCTGGCGGGAGGCCATCTTCTAGGAGCTACGTATCCCTTGTCAGCACAGTCAAGTGCCCGGCGGACAGAAGGCGGTTGGGTTAAGCATGGGTTGCGGAAGCTCTTCCGAGAATGATCGCAATGCGACGAACCTAGGAGATCCCAACAACAACTACAGGGACGAGGATGCAGAGGCAGCGACAGCTGCTTTCGCTACTCGGCAAGGCCTGGGGAGCAGGGTTACCGCGAACGTTTGGTGCAAGGACCTCAAGTGAGAGCTGACTGAAACAAACACGGGTGTTGCGCCATGCCCTTCGTCGTTGTAGATGGCGTTCCGCTTTGTATGCAAGTACGGTAACGCCTTGTGGTTCCTGGGACCTCTGGGATAGGGTGGGAAGGAAGGAGATCGTCCGAGTCCTCGTTGTCGTGACGTGCACCGACCGCGTGCGCACAGGGGGCGGGCGGTCGACTTCGGTGGGCGCATCTTTGAGGGATTTAATTATTCGTTCGTTCTTGCCCCCGACACACAGATGCAACAGAACAGACAACGTTGAGCCCTGTCGTCCCCGCCTGTTGAATGCATGCTGCTGTAGCTGAACGGTTTTCCGTAGCAGCAAGACCTTGACAGCAATATGGCAACCGCCGTAGCCCGAACGAAAGCGTGCTCCATCCTCATACATCATGATTTCGCCGGATCTGCATCGACCCGCTGCGATCAAGAGACCTCTCTTGGTGTTGTAGAGAGATAAAGCTAGGGCTTACGACGCATGTGATGATGTGAGGTCAGGACCAGATCGGGACCCTCGCTTTTCGCACGATGATGTGTTCAAACACCAAATACCAATGCGTCAGCTACGGTAGTCCTTCGATGGTTGGATTGCAGCGGGTTGTATGCATAAGATATTCCAAAGAGAGTGTGAATAGTACTTACGTCTTAACAGCTTGTTGGTCGTTCGCTGCGCGTTAAGTTTCCACGCTGACTCACGGGGTACCGTGCTGTTCACGTTATTTCAAGCAGCTGCTGTGACATTGATCGGGTATCGCATGGCGTGGAATCCACGGAGCCTGTTGGTTCCGATCGTGGCATGCTGGTGGCATGGCCGAGCAAGTCACAATCAAACACAAACAACATCAAATCCACTTTGACCACGCTCCCACGCTCTTCGTTTCTCCCACGCTATAAAGCTCCACCCCCCACGCCATAAAGCTCCGAACTGCAACGGATACGCCTACTTGTATTGGGATTAGCAACTGACACGAGTTTAATGTAGAGAAAAACAATAATGGGTGTGACACACAAAACGCCCGACTACCCAACAGTCAGTACCCAACACCTTTCGTCTGCACCTTCCCAACATAACATATATGAGACACACAAGACAGCTACCAAACTGATTTGTTAAGCCTGTTACCCACAGGGGAGATGTCCCTATATGCTGTCTGGGAAATCGTAGACACACAGGTAGTTTTCTCTGACGCTATGATTCCATTGTTAATCTGTCTCTGACTCTTTTCTATGATAGAGATGGACCCGTTGTGTCATATTAAGAAAAATAATAATAATAATAATAAACAACAAACCAACAATTGTGTACTGGTTCGGTTTCTGGTGTGGCAACAACCCGAAGAGCAAATAACTCAAAAATATTCCGATAAAGATCGCGGGGGGTCAGTGCTCTCGTATTGTTGTTCTTGTTTTCTTCACATCAAACTCGTGTCAGTTGCTACTCCCAAAATCTAGCGAAGACTCGGTCCGTGGTCACAAAAATGCTAGAGCCATCAGAAGATCCAAAGAACACGCACTATTAGCAAGAAAAGGGTACGCAAGCCCGAGGAGGTACAATGTACGTCTGGCTGTCTGCCCATCTGCCGCCTGTTTGCCCTGTTTGGTCCGTTACTACCATGCCCTGGTGCGTGGTGCCTGGTGCTGGTACGTTACCCTTTGATTTTTTCTTTGGGCGGGTGTGGGAAGCGTCCTCCTTCATTTTTGTTTTGTTTTATTTTGATCGGTTTCCGAGGGCTCTTTTCTCGAGCGGTCGGTGCGATACCTGTTCTTTTCTTTCTATCATTTTGTTTTCTTTTTCCAAGTGGTTTGTAACCTATTTTTGCTCTTTTTGTTTTCTCGTGGCGTCGTATGTGCCGGGTTTTGAGACCACGGGCTCCCCATTTTTTGTGGACTATAGAGCTAATGTGAGAAACAACAACAGCAACCTACAATCCCTGCAGCACGTTTGCGTGCTCACACACAACTGAACTACACGCCCACGCACTACAAATCGACTACAGCATCAGCATCATGACCCGCATGTAACCAAAATGAATGTCGACTACAGGGTACTGCTGTCTGAAGTGCTGTCTGTACAAGAATAACACCATGGTGCATGGTATACAAGCTCGGGGCATGCAGCTGCTCTCTGCAGTGCTGTCAGACTGAGTCCATGAACATACAATGAAGAAGAACACCCAACCAAAGCCGTTATCGCAATTGACAATCACCCGAATCTATCCAGATCATCTGTGTTAGGCACAGTAGTGTAAACATCGACACTGACTAGGAATCGTTCCACATTGAAGGGGTCTTCCACGATGCAGGTACACAATTAAGGCACCCGGGTTATTCGCGCCATCTCTGTCGCATCTCTCTGCAAAACCAGTGACGTCGTCACACACACCTAACACCAGCATTCAGGAAAACAACGACAAGTAATTGACAACACAACAGATGTTTGTCAATGCGCCACGGTTCGATGCCGTCCGCCTGCTCCGGTGCCGCTGCTCCGGTGCCGCTGTGGCCAGTCCTAGCACGACCAAACTCGACCCGTTCCGCTTCGTAAACGCCCTCGTTGCTGTCCTTCCCAGTCGGTCCCTCGCTTTCTCCCTCGTTGTACTTAGGGTTCTTGGTCTGAAAATTCTCGGGCCTGAGGGTCAACCAGACCAATCAGCTCGTCACCACCTGTCCCCTCCTCCTTTGATGGCAAAACCAGGTTACTGAGACAGTACAGCTCCCTCTAGCGAAAACCTCGGGCCGTGTACATAGTGCCCGTCCACCTTTCTGATGGCGTCTGCCTCCGCGCACAAAGATGAGATGGGCGTTGCTGCCTACCCCGACGGCCTGGAGGCCCGCGCATCTGCACCTTTGCATCTGATGCACCAGTGCCGACCCAACTCCACCACTACGCACGCCTCGCCGCGGGTGCACCGCAGCAAGAAGGTATCGGTCCCTTGAGGGTGCGTCTAGCCCTGCTCGCTAGAAAACCCCCCCCCCTCGCTGTGAGGACGAGGTCGAGGCGTGTGACAACAAGCTGAAGTGCCACAAAGCAGCAGGAGCGGATGGGATAGTCAACGAGTTCATGTAGTTTGGGGGGAAGGGGATGATCCAGCTGATGGTACTGCTATACAATTGGGTGTGGAAAAACGAGTATACGCCAAGTAGATGGAGGAAAGGAGTGGTTGTGAACTTGTTTAAGAAAGGAGACAAGATTGACCCACGAAACTACAGGGGAATCACACTGTTGAACTCAGTAGGAAAGCGTTCTNACTGTTGAACACAGTAGGAAAAGTGTTCTGTAAGCTGCTGAACGATAGGATAGTGGGAGTATTGGAGAAGGAACATAGCATTAGTGAGGGCCAGGCAGGTTTCCGCAAGAAGAGGGGGTGCGTAGACCACGTGTTCACGGTAGGGAGAATCATCCAAGGTAGAAAGAGGGCGGGAAAGCCGACGTACTGCTTCTTCCTGGACGTGAAAAAGGCATACGACACCGTATGGAGAAATGGGTTGTGGAAACAACTGTCCAAATACGGGATCAAGGGGAAAATGTGGAGAGTGCTGAAGAAGATGACAGAGAGTGTACGAAGAGCGCGGTCATGCTAGACGGATAACTGTCTAAGCTTCGACATTGAGCAGGGGGTCCCACAAGGTTGCACGCTGTCCCCAACATTGTTCCA